TTCCTTTAAGCAACTTTAAGGTCAATAGGAACGCAGCTTTCAAACAGTGAGTATTCTGATGGTTACCTGTATGACCTCGGTGTTATGCAGGCAGTTCATGGACGGGTTTTATGTTTCTATGGGACGGCTTCAGGGTTCTGCTTTGGGACAAACCGTACTGCTCATGGTCTACCCTAAAAACGACAACCAGAGGTGACCTGAAGTGGGTCCCTGTGCCCCCTCCCCCACCACCACCACCACCACCACCAGGAAGTCACAGAAACCGAACAGCTGTCAGGGCTGTGTCTGCGTTTTGCTGTAGTTTTGGCGTTGTGCTGCTCATCTGAAGCTGCATTCTGTGGGTTCAGTTACCCTCCATCTCTCTCTGTGACGGCTGCACCTCTCTGGTCCTGGCTCCCACTCCGTCTGACTCTGAGCAGAAAGTCTGCAGCTGATTATGTGGTCTTCATGTGTAAAAAAGGCTTATGATATTAAGCTCATTCTCACCTCATTTCCACAGCCTGAATGAGCTCTTTCCCCCTCCTTAATGTCCTCTCCTGTTCACCTCAACTCTTCTTGTTAAAGGTCAAAGAACGTTCCCTTGTTCTGTCCTTCCTTCCTCCTAACCCCTCCGGCTCCATCAACTCCAACTTCACCTCCCATCCTCTTCCTCTCCCTCTCACATGGCCAATAAAGAAGTCATCATTTTATTCTCCTCCCCCTTGTCTCCCCCTCCCTCTCTAATCTGCCCTCATCATGTCAAAGGTCCCAGCACAGTAGTTTTATTACCTCCTCCCACCACTCTTCCTTTCTTTCGTTGACCTTAACTCCTCATGTTAAAGGTCAGCTCTGTGTCACTCCTGCTTACTGATCACCTCATTTGGAAATGATTCTGATTAATAAGGCGGGCAGCCCTTTTGAAGCGTCTCCTCTGGCCCGGCTGGAAAAGACACATATTGACTCTCTGGGTTTGGTTCCTCTTTTGATGTCTCACTTTAAACTCTCAGACCTCGGAGGCTTTAATTAGAATAGAGCAGGAGGAAGAGGAGGAGGTCAGGGTCGGGCCTGTAATCCCAGCTGGAGTCGGCCTCGACGCACTTTTACCAAAGATACAGTGGGACTCTGCGTCCTGGAGCAGTCGGCTGACGGGTTCAACACCCACAGCAGAGTTGATGAGTGGAGTGGGGGTGCAGCAGGTGTGGGAGACCTGTTGGATTTTGGTAATATTTCACTTTCTCTATTATTTGTGCTCATGTTGTCTTAATGTTTGGAAGTTTGCGGTAGTTGAGTATTTAAAGCCAGGTAACATATGATGAGACATATTAAAGGGACGGTATTCTGAAAAAGTTTTATTTGTAATGTTATCTTTTCCTGCCTGGACTTCGTCCTCATCCCTGAGCACCAACCCACCTCGATTCTGCTAACAAATATCTGGAGAGAAATCAGCTGACTCAGCATCTTCCTCAATAAAATAGCATGTACAAAGTTAAACTTAACATCTGCAAACCAGCGTCATAAATAAAACGGAGTGGTTGGACCAATGCCCAGACTGAAGCCAAACCAGGAAGTGCAGAGGAAGTGCTGTATGTCGTCATCCTGGATGGTGGGTTGGCACCGCGCAACACTGATGTGAAATATTCACATTTTAATGCCTAATCTTTATGAATTTATCATTGGAAGAATGTATTTAACCTCATGTAAAATTCAATGAGATGCTTCTCGTTGCCATCTATGGTCTCTGACATCAATCTGTCTGATATTAGCTGGTTAACAGACTTCTATTAATGTAAGCATTACTTGTAAAGGAACATTATCTTAGTAGGACGAATGTCCAGCATCTGATCATTTCCAGCCCATAATACTCCAAGGCGCCTGCTGGCTTTCTTGTAAACAAGAGAAATGAAAATGACCAAGTGGAGAGGAGCGAATGGGAAACGGCTCTGCTCCAAACTCCACTCACTCACATTTTATTAGAAGAACTTGAATCCATAAGAGAGATGAGACATAAATGTGATGCTTTTGAACCCAGTTTTGTAAAACCCTGACATACCTGGAGAGGCCAGTAAGTTACAGCTGAAATCAGATATTTACATACTCTAAATAAAAAAATACAAACTCTTTCTTTTCCCTACTGTCTGAAGTTAAATCAAACCAAACATTTCTTGTTTTATGTTAGTTACTTAAATTATTTCTATTTGTTCAATACCAGAAAAGTTGGTGAGAACATTTTTAGAATTTTGTTGTTTGTAATTTCCTTCAAATTCAAAAGTTTCCTGTTTTAACCCAGTTCCAGAGCCATCAGTTCAGACTGATCTCTCCATGGGGTTCATTCACTGAAACTTTTCATCATTTAATGTTAATCTAGGTCAATAAAGGTTAGCTGCAGTACCATAAGTAAACCACATCATTCTGAATCTGTTTTCAGCTGCTGCTCCATACTTTCTATCAGACTTTAGTAAATCCAAACCCACTGCTCTGTTCACAAACCTCTACTATCCTACTCCCCACTGTCATGTTGTGGTGTGGGATCAGGAGCTGATGTAAACGCAATCCTCATTATCAGGTGTGTTGACATTTATGTTAATGAATTAGTCAGTTAGTTAATTAAGCCTTTATTTAAACAGTCAGTCCTGTAGTTATCCAGAACTTGATCTCCTTGCTGCTCGGTGGGAACGCACATTAAAAGCACAAACACACACTCTGTGGAGTGTTGTTCTACGCCTGCAGACCCACACATGCATTTTTCTGTTATTCTCTCAGAATATGGGCAACGGAGCAGAAAAGCCGTCATTTAATTAAAGCGTTATCACTTTAAGCTATTGTGCTCAGGACTGTTATGTCTGACTGCCATGTGTTTCATCTGGGCAGGAGGAGCTGCTGAGGCTGCAGAAGGAGAAAGACGCAGCTCTGGACGACAAACGGAGGCTCCAGGCTCAGATCCAGGCATTACAAGCCGATCACAGGTTAGTGACAAGCAACAAGCACAATTGTTGCTCTTGCTGTCTGGGACTTTGCTGTGAGCCTCAAAGACTATCTGACAAACTAACAACTGATTTTTTTCAGAAAGTACATCCTCTCCTTCATTATTATCTAAAACACATTTCAGATTCTACAAATCAGTCGACATATGAAACATTCTTCCCTGGACAGATCAGACCAGACAGGACAGCTAATGGCTGTTTTGGCTGTCCATATTTTTCTAATCAGTTCATCAGTTAATGACTATTTTACACCATATTTAAAAGAAAACCGAAGAGCTTGACTTTAGTTTCAGAGCATCTCTCATGTTATTCTGTCATGACACAGTGACAGTTCTAACAAATATGTACAAGAAAAATGTTTGTAAAAGTTCCATACTGCAGCTTTAATAATGGTAAAAGTTCCCTGCTGTGTAAAGACTATTCCCTGATTTCAGACTTTTCTTTGTGTTGACATTTTCTCACAGCAATGTGATTTTATGACATTGTAACATTTAAAGAGTCACCAGTGTAGAAGAAATTAGAATCTTGGTCCGACCCGGTTTAAATGCGTTTCACATCGCTTGCACACACCTTAAATCTAAATTTTCTGGCCGTGTTTTTCTCAACTCTTCTTTAGCTAAAGCAGTTTTAAAACTTCAGTTGGCAAAGTGCAAACAGCATGCAAGTTAAGCAGCTGACAGCAGGCTCTGCCTGAGCAGATAGCTTGACTGATTAGCCTGCTGATATCAATTTGTTGTACTTGTGTTATTCTGTTAACAGCGGAATTGCAAAAACATACATGAGTATTCATGTATAAAAGCCAGATTTTGCTGGGAATCATCACGTTCAGGTTGCTGGGATTTGGCAGGTTATTATTAGTACTTGATAACTATAGAAATAATCGTTGGCTTTTTGCTTTAAATAACTGCAGTTATGTTATACATTTTTGTTTTTAGATTTTTGTTCAATGGAAGGCAGAGTTCCAGAAAGAGCACAAGATTTTAAAGGGACAGAGGCACAATTTAAAGGTGTTAAGTTGCAAAGTAAAATTTATTTTATGTCATGTTTTAAACAATATTGTCATAACAATTGGAGGTCACATTGTTAATTGATTGTACTATGATTGTGAAATGGCACTATGTGCCTGGAAAATACATCGTACTGCCCCTTTAAATAAGCTGATTTAACCAAAATAGGTTTTAGTGGTTTTCTTCTTGCTGTTAATCAGAACATTTGATAAATGTACGAAAAACTTTTATCAACTTTTTATCAACTCTGCAACCAAGTTACCCATCAAGAGACGTTTTAAGTGTTTTCACAGCTTTAAAAGGAGAATATGTTTTTATTTTTGATCCAGGATGATGTCCGGAGGATTTGCAAACTTTGAGAAATCACTGATAACAACAGTACCAAGTGGAGAATTAGCTCCACCTGCTGTTTACCTCTCCAGTCCACATTAATGACCTTCAGCTATGCTGTGCTTGAAGACATTTTATCAGGATTCAGAAGCAAGACTTGAGTTTGACTTGGAATCAGGAAGTGTGTGCATGTTTAAACAGAAACCTGTCTGACAGCAGCAAACACACAGCTTCAGTGTGTGTTCAGTTAGTGCTGTCTGTTCTCTAAAGCTCTGCTTTTTAAAGAATGAGAGATAACTCTTATTCCATCCACTTTGTGCCATAGAAGGTGGTGTGGTGTTAAACACATTTTAACATCAGAAATAGAGTAAAATCACTAAAAGCAATTTTTGGTCATTTTGGTAAAAGCTACTGAAACCAAGCTGGATCTATGGGAAACATCTCGTCCTGTTACATCATAAAATAACTGATTGACTTTGTTTTGGTTGAGTTTCATGATCTGATCCAGGACTGATCACTACCAGACCCATAGAGTCAAAACATTCCATAAACACAACCCGTCTGACAACATGAGGTAGGGTAAAACGACAAATCAGTCATAAATGACACAAGAATCAAACTCATTTTCATCCATCAGTGTGGAGAGGAGAGTTACAAAATCAGAGAATGGCAGTGAGAACAAATGGAGAGACTATGGAACAATGGAGAACATTCCCAAGAGTCGGCAGTCTGCCAGAATGACTCCAAGAACTCAACAATTCATCCAGGAGGTCACAGAATGACCCAGAACGGCATCTACACCTTCACTTTCCTCGGTTAAGGTCAGAGTTCAGGATTCACTAGTAAGAGAGACTTATTGATGATCCTCAAACACGGTGCTGGTAGCATAATGCTTTACTGGAAGCTTGAATTCTGCTCTGTAGCAGAAAATGCTAAAGGAGAATGTCTGACCTTGATCTTCAGGTCAACTGCGCACTAGGACAGGTATCCAACACACACCAGCAGAGCCATTTCTGAATAGTTGAACAAAACCTGATTTCAGAGTGGCCTAGTCAAAGTTCAGACTTAAATCCAATTGAGATTTTCTTTTGTGACTGTGAACAAGCCAGATATGCTCAACACCCCTTCAGTGTGGCTGAATTAACTGTTTAATGAAATTCCTGCTCAGTGATGGAAAACCCTGCTTGCCTTGTGGAGGAACCAGTTATCAGGCTTTGGAGGGAATTCATTTCTTATATAAATGCTGCTGGTCTGAATAACTTTATTTCATTTAATAAATGAAATCATCATTTGAAAACATGTAGCATTCACTCAGGTTGTCTGATATTAATATGAGTTAAAGGGATAGTGTCATGTAAAATTGACTTTTTTGAGCCATGCCATGATGTTATTCCCTCATCAAAACATAGCTGTAGTGTTGCCTTCATTCTTTCATGCTTGTTATTCAACTGTGTAAAACACCTGGGTGGACCTAGCCCCACCTTCGAGATGCAGCTCCTCCTCTGCAGTTTCAAGCATCCCTCCATTTGGACTAAGATGAATCAAAATCATTACTCCCCCACTCTGCTCCTTCAGACTAGCCAGCAGCAATTGGCAAACACCTGCTGAGTTCATTACAGGAGCTGCTTCTCAGGGCAACGCTGATAAAAATGTTTTTAAAGGGTTAATAGAGGAGCCATGTTGTGGTGACTCCCTGAAGGCGGAGTTTCACAAAGCACAGGAGTTTTTAAAGGCCCAGTTACAAGGTGTTAGATTGTGAAGTCAAATGTGATATATATATATATAGCCTTTTATTAACGACTGAAGGTAACAGTTACTTCATTACATTATAACATGGCCACCATGTGCCTGGAAAACAATACTGGGCTTTTAAAGTAAAACCAGAGGAAGTCTGTACGGAGGTAGATATTTTTTCTCAGCTCTGTAAATAATATCCAATTAAAGTGTCAGAAAGAGAATCTTTGGGTAGAGGAATGATAAGAAGCACAAAAGTGATGGTTTTGATTCATCTCAGTCCAAATGCAGCCAGTTGACTGGTGACTGGAGGAATCTGGATAACCTGTAGAATAATAACAGGAGTAAACGGCCAGCAATGAGGACGACAAACAAACAGTAATTAGATAAGACGTTGTGAGGCAGATTTGAGCCACAGAGAGGTGTGTTTTGGGCTTTAAGATCAGTTGGAGGATTTCCTGGAGGGGTCCGAGTCCAGTTCTGAGCAAAGCAGCTGCGGAAAAGTGAAACAGAATAAAGATGAGGAGCGAGTCCGACTATGCTGATGAAAATGTGAGCCTCCATAAATTACTAGGATTGATGCTGAACGCCTGCAGAGACACCTGAAGAGGCTGCAGAAAGCAGGCGTAGCAGGAAGACATTTTGTTTTCGCTTTCAGTCTAGATGAAGAAAATAAAAACTCTGCTTTAAAACTATTTATTTCTCCAACATGTGTGTAGAGTTGATGTAAATCTGACAAAGTTAGATCAGTTGTTGAACTGAACAGTGTGTATTAAGGTGTTGTTTTTTTTTTTCCTTTTAGTTTTTATTTTATGCATTCCACAATTTCCAGAAGTGGTTCTGTTCAATTGTTCAGTACAAAGTTTTATTTTCTGTCCACTTTGCAGTTCTGCAACACTTTGTTTTGGTCTGTCATATAAAATCAGACCAAAACAACGTGGAAAAGTTCAAAAGATGTGAAAACATTGCATTAAAAGTCAATAAACAACAAAACCCTGGAATCATTTTAGCAGGATTTTGACTCAAGCAGACAGTAAATTCAGGCTGTTGTTGAAGATTTAATGAGATAAATATTTTAACCAACCGTGACCCGATTCTTCCTCTCCATCCTCCTCCTCCTCCATCAGCTCTCAGGACCATGCCACTCCATCCCAGACGTCACTTCCTGCTGAGTCTTCTGCAGACCAGAAGGACTTGTCCTCCTCCCAGGTCCAGTCTCTGGTGGTGCAGCTTCAGCAGCTGTCCAGGGAGAAGGAGGACACTGCGGCTGAGCTCCAGCGCAGCCAGGCGGCTGAGCAGGAAGCCAGTGAGAGGGTTCGCAGGTCAGTCGATTTGTTCTGTGGCTCTCAGATTTGTTCACTGCCTGCTGCTTCCTCGTTCCATCAGGCTGAGATGAAAACAGTCTGACAGCTCTGACCACATCTGCTCTGTTTTCACCAGTTCTGTAATTTTATTAGTTTCTCTGTGGAGTGATTTTCATTCAATCACAGCATTCTGTTTATTTTGTAACATTCCAGCTGATGTCAGCTGGTCAATATTTTATAACTCAATTCAGTTGTTTTGTTTTGTTTTGTTTTGTTTTGTTTGTTTTTTTTATCTAAAAGTTTTGATCATGTCCATTCTGCTCTGTCTTCTCATTTGTGACAGGTGGCTGCTGGTACTGAGCCAGGTTCTGGTTCTGCAGGAGTTTTTTCTCTCCACTGTCGCCACATGCATGCTCAGTATGAGGGATTGCTGCAAAACCAACCAAAGCGGTCGTCTGCTGTCATCCAGGAGGAGTGAAAGCTGTGAAACAATGACTCAATGCAATCTGCTGGTTTCCTTGGAAACGTTTTAAACGACCTTGAATAACTAACTGAGTTTTCTGCATTGTTTAATAACAGTGCAGTTATGCAATTATCAAACTGCAAACAGTGCAAACCACACATCAGTTTATATGTGTGACTTGAAATGTTTTTTTTAAATGTCAAGATAACAAAAATATAAATAATCAGACGATGGAGTCAAGTTCAGATTATTATTCAAACTGTCTAAAATATTTTCTAAGGAAATTTGGCAGATTGCATGGAGTCAGTGACGTAAAGCGATCCCTCATACATGCTGCATGTAGCAACAGTGGAAAGAGAAAACTGTCCTTTAACCGGGGCAGACCTCCATCAGAACCAGAACCCTGTCCACTGTTGGGCCTCGTCTTACAGTGGAGCTGCTTCCACACGTATGTTAGAGAACAAACAGCATCAGATCTTTTGCAGGAAAGTTAATGATTTGAATCAGCAGTGCTGCCAACACTGATGATCATCCAGAATATTTTACTGTGGAAAACTGGAAGCGAAGCTGTTAGCATGTCAGGACAAGCAGCCGTCTGTCAAACCTCTTCAGATTCACTGCCGGACTGACTGCTACTGGAGCTCCCTGTGGCCCACAGGACATGACGGGAGTTACAGCAACATTTGATTTCCCTTTGGGATCAATCAAATATATGTTACATAAAACCACTCTGAACACATCACACCCTCTGAAACATGGCAGTGGCAGCATCATGCTATGTAGATGCTTGTCTTTGTAGAGACAGATGGGAGGAAGGTTGGAAAATGATTCTTTTTTTCTTGATTAAATTTGTAAAGGTTATTTATGGTGCAGCATCACCATCTGACCCTCATGTGACCCAAAGTCCAGCTGAATGTTTCCTCCAGCAGCCGTTAATGGACCGACCTGCTGCTGTCTGTTCCAGGACTCAGAGGGGAGATGTTCACCCAGCAGTCCATAGAAATGGGGACGCACTGATTGCAGTTTTCTGGTCAATCACTGATCTTTAATTAAAAAAAAATCGATACTAATACTAAAACGAAAGTTGTTGAGTTGGTAACAGTGAAGTGAATATTGTTAACTGCAAATATGCAGACATGACCCAGTGGGCAGGTCTGTCATGGCAGAATGAAGGTCAGTGGCTGATTCTCAGACGTCTGTCGAGCCAGGTAAGATCGGCTTCACGTGTATCGGCTGATCAGGAAACTGAGGCCAATTTCTGGGTGCCCGGTGCACCCCTAGGTAATAATGACCTCACAGAACGCCGTTTTCATGTAAACGCTCCTGATTATGGAGGGAGTGTCTGGTGGGAACCAGCTGCTTCCCGTTGATGGAGCAACAGTTTCCCTCAGAGACTCTGGAGGTGTTCAAAGGCCGGTTAAGTACGTGGGACTAAGGAGATTTGGCTCTGATGACTCATATCCAGCAGACTATGGCGCAAGTGTCCCTGCAGCCGAGATGATCAGGAGAGAACTAAGCCTTGCAGATTTGGATTCAGGAAAAGGGAAAACGCTCCGGTTGAACGTGACTTCTTCTTCTTCTTCTGCTTCTGCTGCTGCTGCTGCTTCTCAGCTCATCAACCTGAAGATGAAGGGATGAGATCGGTGATGAAAACAGCTTAAGTCCTCCGTCTGCGTCCTGCGCTGTCCTCCTGGGCTCAAACCTGGGGCTTTCTGCTGTAATTTGGCTGCCAGCGGGGGGAGCGGAGTAGAGGGGGGGGAGGAATGGGAAGTGCCTTCCAAGTTTCTGGGCTGTGAAGAGGAATGTTTGCTCTCTGATGGGAAGGACTGAGTCAAATCTGCTGCTTATTACAAATGGGGAGTTTAATTTGAATAGGAAAGGGAGAGAGCCTCGCTGATTGTTAGAAGGTCACCCAACCCTCTCTCTCTCTCTCTCTCTCTCTCTATCTCACACACACACACACACATGCAGTCACATCAACATCTCTCTGCAGTTAATATTCTCATTGACGGTTATAAAGTGGACTTTTCCGTCAGCGGTGCATGCTTTGCTGCAGCGCTGCATTAACCAGCTGAGACGTTCTCCTGTCCACTCCCACTCAGTTCTGCAGGGTTCATCGTCCCCTCTGTAACCCTCCTCTTCCTCCTCGTTCTCCTCCTCAGGTTGGAGCGTTTGGTGGAAGTGTTGAGGAAGAAAGTTGGAGCAGGAAGTCTCCGTGCTGTCGTCTGATTCATCAGATCCTTTTTATGTGACCAAACTGATGGTTTGTTTGCTTTTTTTTATACTGTTGAAGCTTTTCTACTTTTTGTGATTAAAACTTGGTCACATGTGGAAGCAGCAGAAGAAATTAAACAACACGTTTGTCTTTGTTTCCTTCACTTGTTTTGGATGTGGAAGTGTTCTCGGCTGGAAAACTGAGCACCTTTACTTTTTATCCCGCGTGTTTTTCTCTCCTTGACTGGAGGCAGAAAATGAAATAAATGTGATTATGTCATCAGAACTTGATACTAAGAGATGTGAGCTTTATTACTGCCAGGTTGTTCAGTTGATTCTAAATAAATTATAAAATACAAAAAGGTATTCATTTATTTCCATAAATAGGTGTAAATGTGAAACTTGTACACACAGGGTGACACATTTCAGCTGTTTGTTGATTATGTAAAGAATGAAAAAAGTAAAATCAACTTGTTTTGAGCTTTACATCATACTATAATCTCATCAAAAACATACCTGGAGTTTTGCTTTGATCATTTCATGNATGCNTGAGAAATCCTTTAGACTCCATGGGAACCATTCAGCTGTGCAAAACGCCTGGTTGGACCTAGCTCCGCCTTCCGGGACACAGCTCCTCCTCAGCCCCACCCCTCCCTCTGCACCCCCACTCGGCTCCTTCAGACTAGCCAGCAGCAGTTGGCAAACACCTGGTGGAACTGAGCATCTGCTGAGCTCTTTATAGGAGCTACTTCTCAGAGCAACGTTGGTAAAAACATTGTTAAAGGAATAAGAGAGGAATCATGTTGTGACGACTTCCTGAAGGCAGAGTTTCAGAAAAAGGAGACATATTGTAAAGTTTTAAGCCAAATGTGCAGCCGGACTGAGAACGATCCACTCAAACTCAAAGGGGGTGAATATTTAAAAATCTCCTATTTTATGTTTCATATTTTTATTTGTAATTGTTTTTGCAGAAAACACTTTGATATTAGTGATTTTTTTCCCCTGATTCTTTTGTCAAAAAAGCTACATTTTGCGATCATGATTAATTTGTAAAAGCAATAAAAAATGTAACTCATCCAAGGGATTGAATACTTTTCGTAGTCACTTTAACATCACTGATAATGTTCAGTGTTTTGCTTACTAGGGCATCACGTTTGTTTCTCAGTAGGTTTTGAAGAAAGTAAAAGGCATAAATTAAATGCAGCAACATCAACGCTGCTGAAAATAAAATAAAAAAATAACAGCAGAGATCAAACTGAATTGTATCCAACTAAATGTTCCGAGTTAGTCATTGGAAACAAGAGAATATAATCAAAGTTTTTTGATTATCAATAGATATTTAATATGACCCAGAAATACTGAATTCTAATCTAAGTCCTTTTGATCTTTTTAAGTCATTTAGGTGCATTCGTTTGCATTTTGTGATCATTTTATCAATACCACAGATGACCTTTAAAACATTTTCTCAGTGATTGTTTCATCAGTTGCATTATTGAAGCGCTGTAAACTGTAGATGACAGGAGAATGAAGAGTTTAATAAAGATCAGAACGCTTCCAGGTTGGCAACACAAGTTAGAAATGAAAACCGAGGAGATAAAGTTGGCTTCAGCTGAGGAACTCCTTTAATGAAGATATCAGAGAGACGGGATTTTCATCAGTTGTGATGTGTGGCTCATAAAAAGGGGGGTGGGTTGCCTCCCGCTACGGGCTGGTTACCATGGCGATAGCAGACCACTTGTTGTCGACTTGGGTGTCCTGCTCTTAATCCTGCGGCCGTTAATCTGCTTGTTCTCAAGAAAGACCCAGTTTGTTGGAGCTCCAACTTCTGATGCCACCTGGGAGTGTGTGTGTGTGTGCGTGCGTGTGTAAGACATTGATCTTTGTGGTGTTTGTTAACTCTGCAATAACATTCAGATGGCGCTCATGTCCAAACAAAGACATGAGAACAGATCTCCAGCGTCTCCATCACCATCAGCTGGTCTCCAGGCTGCGCCCATAAATGGAGTTTATTTCTGTTTATGTGAAGTCAACGTGAAGACGCCGGTTCCAGAGTAACGACAGATGTTCCAGGTTTCTTTTACCTGAACTCTGCAACACGACACAAATGTTGCTTCCAGTGAGGACGAGCAGAACCCTCTGGAGATGAAGACTTTACCTCTGAGGTCAGAGGTCAAAGGGGAACTAAAGAGTTCAATTCTGAACAGCGTCGCCAGTTTTATCAGTGTTAATGGTGGAAGAGATGGCGGCATGAAGTCATGATAAACCTCCAACATCACCAACAAGAGTGTAGTTATGGTTGTTATTGTCTCTGATCTAAAAATACAAAATTTAATAACATATAATGAAGGAACATGATGCACTGCAGCATGAAATACTTAAATGACTTTCAAAGTAACTGAATGAATGAGACCTTAGAAATGATTAAAAAACAAGTACTTAGTTTTTATTTAATCACATTGGTGACGATTAGTTTAAAGGGATGTGTTGTGTGTTTTCCAGGCACATGGTGACATTTTATATCACAATCAAGGAACGACGTAGCCTTCAGTTGGCATAAAAAATGTTGCATGTATCACACATGACTTAAACAAATTTGACTTTGCAATTTAACACCTTGAAATTAGGTCTCTGTCTCTTTAAGAAGCTCCTGCTCTCTCAAACAATAGCTCTTCATAACAATGCTCCTCCATTAAGCTGTTTAGATCCGTCCTAACATCTTTGGGCTGAGAATCAGAACGCTTGCTGAACAGTCTCTCTTCTTCCTTTAAAAGGGAAGTTTTCCCTCCCCACTGTGCTCCATGCATGCTCAGTGTGATGGATTGCTTTAAAGTCACAACACACGACAACGCAAACGGTTGTTGCTGCATGTTGGTCCAGGAAGAGTGAACGTTCAGGTCAGTCTGTTGGGTTTCTGTTGGTAGAAACTTTTTAAACCAAACTGAATAATGAACTGAGCTCACTGCGTCTGATAACTGGAATCAACTGGAATGTGTGTGTGACTGAACTGGGCCGACGTTTTCTCTAAAGTGACTTCAGACAACATTTTCTACGAATTGGTTCTGTAGAAATGAATTGAACTGCAGATGATCAGATTATGAATTAACAAAAAGCTTTATTTTTCCTGAATCCTGTTAGTGTTCCACTGCATCACCTCTCTGTCCAGGTCTCCTGTTAACACCACTGAGAGAAAAACCAGCAAGAGAGAAATCAGACATGGTTTGATCTTTTCTCCTACTTTAAGATAAGAACTAGGATTTGATTTTGTGAAATATTTCCTAAATGAATCCATAAAACATGCTGGAAAATAAAGTCTTTTGTTTTTTTTTTTGTTTTTTTTTTTAAATCTGACATGTTTTGACGACTTATGTCTTCAGAAAAAGACTTTAGATAAAAAACTGTCCAAAGCAACTTAAGGACTATATTGTATATAGAAACAATTATCTCCATTGCTTTGGAAACTGCTTGACAAATCAAATCAAAATCAAAAATCCTTCACTTATCACTTTACATGACAAACAGATCCAGATTTCATCCAGAGGTCCTGAATCAGTCCCGTTCATAAAACAAGAACAGAAACGCTTCTTTTCCCAGAAACACCTTCCAGTTGAAGTTAATTTAGCACTTAAACATTTTACATTTAAAAAATTAGGTTTGAATACTTTGAGCTTCCTTTACTCTCAAGCCACTTAAAGGGACAGTACTATGTTTTCTAACCACATCATCCCATTTTACAACACAATAAATGAGTTAAGTTACCTTCAGTTGTAAAAATGCCATGTGTATCAAACATGACTTAAAAGAAATTTGATGTCTTAATATAATGCGTTGAAATTGGGCCTCTGTCTCTTTAAGAAGCTTGTGCTCTTTCTGAAGCTCTGCCTTCAGGAAGTCATCACAACATGGCTCCTCTACTAACTTAGCGTTGCTCTGAGAAGTAGCTCCTACAATGAGCTCAGCAGATGCACCGTTCCAAAAGTTGTTTGCTAATTGCTGCTGGCTAGTCTGAAGGAGCTGAGTGAGGGAGTAATAGGGGTGGANGGACTCTGTGAGGTGGAAGCTGCAGCTCTGAGGAAGAGCTGCGCCTTGAAGGCAGACCTAGAGCCACTCAGCCGTCTTGTACAACTGAATGGTTGCCATTCAGTTACATTAAAGGATTCATCAAACATGCATGAAAGAATTAAAGCAACACTACAGACATGATTTTGATGAGGTAATAACATAACATGACTTAAAGCTCAAAAATAGCCCTTTTAATAAAATCCATTGTAACCAAATGCTCTCACAAGTTACATAATTAGTTACTTCTGATTCCGTCTTAGTGAAGTATCTCCTCTGTAGTCCAGTCAAAGCCCAGATCCTCCAGGTTGATCAGGTTGTTGGTGTGTCTCTGTGAAGGCGGAGCCCACAGGACCAGCAGAGCTGCATCCACACAGCATCAGCTGACACCTTCAGATTTTTATTGGTGATCAGTGTTGGTGAAACATTTCTGAAAACCAAAACCCAGTGCAGCTCATCAGTGTGAACAGAATCTGCTTTAACAGTTTTAACAGTTTAAACAGATTTAGTTCAACCCCTTCAGTGACTTCTCCTCCATCTGAGCCAGAATGACCAGTGAGTCTCTGCCAATTACACATCCACCCCCTCCGCCCCGCCACACCCCCACCCAGGACCACCAACCTCCCGGCTGATCCATATTAGCACCTCACAAAGCTCTAATAAACTTCCTCTGAATTATTTTAATGGAAAAGCAGGGGCTCTCTCTCTCCCTCTCTCTTCTCATCTCTCTGATTCTGGAGGGGATTTCTTTGCTCTTTTCGTTGACCGAGCACAATTGTGTTATTGGAGATAATTAATTCCAATCCCCATCAAAAGGCCTTAGTGGCCCTGGGGCCCCTGTTCTTGGCTTTCTAGTGGGGCAATGAAAGGCACGGGGAAGAAAGAGGCTGAAGGCCGCCGTATTGTGGCCGACATTTTCCTCCATAAGGAGCGAGCCGAGAGAAAGGAGGCTGAGGGCTTTGGTGAAACATGGTGGGGGCCCCGGGGCCCGCCGCCACTGACACTGCCCTCACCGCCGGCGCTGTGTCCAGAGCGGCCCTGGCTTTGGCCCACAGAGAACATATGGCTCGTATTACAACAGCAGGCTGGGTGGCAGAGGATCAGCAGCACAACCTGTTCTCAGATCGGAACCTCAGAAACGGACCGAACCGACCGATGTCAGCCTCAGCGCAGCTTTGATCCAGATATCAGGTCCACTTATACAAATGTTGGGGTTAAAAACGGCCACAGCTCCACAGGCCTGTCTCCAGTAACCCAGACAGAAATAAACAAATGAAATTAAAGAAACTACATCCTGTTTGGACCT